TAAAAGAGACCTGACCTAACCAACTTCTTCTTGCTTCTAACCTCCAAGCTGTCATTGTTTATTCCTGGGTGTAGGCGACACTAACTTTGGGAGGAACTTAGTTTATAATTTAAAACAAAGAAAATAACAGCTCTCTCCCAAAGCAAACCCCCTTTTTGACTGGGGACTGGATTGCCTTCTAGGACTAACAAATTAGCCAAAAGATTTGAAATTATGGTTTAGGAGTTATGCAGCTGGAGGATGCAAGATTCTGACCCTCCCCAAATTACTCCTGGGGATAACATCACTATTGTAAGGCCTAAGATCAGTGCTTGAGATATTTTGTAGAGACATATTTTGAGGTATCAGTTTCTGAGCCCCAATAGCAGGACTCTATTCCTCATCTCTTTCTAGTAGCAGTGTGTTTTAACATTAAATCTGGGTCTACTGGGAGTCCTTTGGAGCACAGGAAAGCCTGATTATATTAACAAAACACAGTATCTTGTTCCTGAGAGCTTGGCTTTGGCATCTTTTGACAAGTAGTGCAAACACCCCTTCCTTACAGATACTGAAATGGCAAAGCATTAGGTGTTGCCACCAGCTCCTGACCTTGCCTCCGTAGGGGTGAAAGTGTAACTGCCCAAGAGGTTCATTTTGCCCACTGCCTAAATAGAGCCAATTTATCAAGACAGAGGAATTGCAATAGAGAGTTTAACATATGCAGAGCCAACTGAAGTTGGAGTTTTATGACTCAAATCAGTCTCTCTGAAAATTCAGAGGCTAAGGTTTTTTTAAGGATAGTTTGGGGGGATGGAGGCTAGGGAATGGATGCTGCTGATTGGTTGGTGGGTGCAATCACAGGGGTGTGGAAAATGGTCCTTTTGTGCACTGGGTCTGCTTCTGGGTGGGGCCACTGGACAGGTTGGTGGGTCTGAATGGAGCCATCAGTCATCAGAAACACAAAAACCTGAAAAGACATCTAAAAAAGCCAATCTTCAGTTCTACAATAGTGATGTTCCCTGCAATGGGGAAGTTGCAAATCTTGTGGCTAATCTGTTAGTCTTACAAAGGCAGTCTGGTCCACAGGCAAGAAGGGATTTTGTTTTGGGAAGGAACTGTTATCTTTGTTTTAGATAAAATTTATTTTAAAATATTTCTTTAAAAAGGAAACTGCCCATGTTCACTTAAATCTTTTATTTTCCTAAATTTTAATTAAAAATTTTAAAAATATCTCTCATATTCTATATGATGGTACTGAATTTTAATCTTTTTATTTATTTTATATGAAAGCTGTCTATTCCCTGTGCTCCTTCAGTATGCCTACATAATACATAATAGGATATTATGTTGCTGTAAAACATGAGAACAGATGGTGGTGGGGGTGATACCCTGGATAATTCTTCTGTAGGGGGGTGTGTGTGTGTGTGTGTGTGTGTGTGTGCATTTTTCTTTTTTTTTTTTGAGATGGAGTCTTGATCTATCGCCCAGGCTGGAGTGCAGTGGCCCAATCTTGGCTCACTGCAAACTTCGCCTCCGAGGTTCAAATGATTGTCCTGCCTTAGCCTCTCCACTAGCTGGGATTACAGGGACCTGCCACCATGCCCAGCTAATTTTTCTATTTTTAGTAGAGACAGGATTTCACCATGTTGCCCAGGCTGATCTTGAACTCCTGACCTCAGGTGATCCTCCCACCTTGGCCTCCCAAAGTGCTGGGATTACAGGCATGAACCACTGCATCTGGCCTTCTCTAGGTATATTTTTGAGTTGGTTTGGAAAATTGTGACAATGACACTTGGGACATATATAAATCTTTATGTGAAATTTGTTGACATCAGTGCTATCTATGCCATTGAAAGGTCATCTCCTCCATTTCTCCACTGTTCCTCTAGTTTTTATAAACATGTTCTCTTAGTTTGGCTAATATACATAGAATGAGACCAGGAAAATGTTCAAGCACAAGGAACCCTTCTTTCCTGTTATGAGAAGGAACATTTGGGCCAGGTGTGGTGGCTCATGCCTGTAAACCCATCACTTTGAGAGGCCAAGGTGGGCAGATCACCTGAGGTCAGGAGTTTGAGACCAGCCTGGACAACATGGTGAAACTAAGTCTCTACTAAAAATACACAAATTAGCTGGCATGGTGGCACATGCCTGTAATCCCAGCTACTCGGGAGGCTGAGGCAGGAAGATAGCTTGAACCTGGGAAGTGGAGGTTGCAGTGAGCCAAGATCGCACCACTGCACTCCGGCCTGGGTGACGAAAGTGAAATTCCATCTCAAGAAAAAAAAGAGAAGGAACATTTGAATTCATGTTAAAGAGAGCAGCAATTTTTCTCTAAAGGAGGGGCTTGTTCACAGCTGCTCTGGGGAAAACCCATAATCTCACCTTGATTGGAAATGGCATTCCTCCTTCAAATGTCTGCCATGCCTATGGCCTGAACTGAAAGATCATTCGGAATCTCCAAGAGAAGTCAGGTGCAGTGGCTCACTCCTGTAATCCCAGCACTTTGGGAGGCCAAAGTGGGCAGGTCACTTGAGGTCAGGAGTTTGAGACCAACATGGTGAATCCCCATCTCTACTAAAAATACGAAAAAGTAGCTGGGCATGGTAATGTGTTCCTGTAGTCCCAGCTGCTTGGGAGGCTGAGGTACTGAATTATTTGAACCCAGGAGGCAGAGGATGCAGTGAGTTGAGATGGCACCAGTGCACTCAAGCCTGGATGACAGAGTGAGATTCTGTCTCAAAAAAAAAAAAAAAAAAAAAGGAAAGAAAGAAAAAAAAAGAAATCTCCAAGAGAGGTAGACTGCATGCCACACAGCATCACCTCCCAGGTCTCGGGAATTTTTTCTAAAATCAGAATTAAGACAGGTAAGAAATAACTTGGTCTTTCAAAAATGGCTGTGGCATACTGGAGACCAAGAGGGCAAATCTTGCCATTAAATATGTGATGGCTGGCAAACATGTTTTAAAAATTACTACTTTTTATACACAAATCAGAATTTCTGGCTTCTCAGGAAAATCAAGCTATATGACAACGCAAGGTCCATATTCCTCCACAAAACCATAGGAGCAGGGGTTCAGTCCAAGTGTCCCCTTTAGATGGGGCAAGTCCTCTTAGTTAACCAAAGGCCCCCACCTCCCTGCCACTCCCTGCCCCTCCACCAGGCCCACACGTTACTTACCTGTCTGTTGGCAAAAAGAGCCAAACTGTAACATATTTGAAGAGATTTATTCTGAGCCAAATATGAGTGACCATGGCCCATGACACAGCCCTGAGGAGATCCTGAGAACATGTGCCAAGGTGGGCACAGCTTGGTTTTATACATTTTAGAGAGGCATGAGACATCAATCACATACATTTAAGAAATACGTTGGTTTCATCCAGAAAGGCAGGACAACTGAAAGCTGGGGCTTCCAGTCTATAGGTAAATTTAAACATTTTCTGGTTAACAATTGGTTGAGTTCATCTAAAGATCTGGGATTGATAGAAAGGGAATGCTCCGGTTAAGATGAAGACTGTGAAGACCAAAGTTCTTTTGACATTTTAAAGTGGCTGCCCTTAGAGACAACAGATGACAAATGTTTCCTATTCAGATCTTAGTTAGTCTCTTCAGGATTCAGAGGATCCGGAATAAAAAAGATCTAGCTATGTTAAGAGATTCTTTACAGATCCAAACTTTCCCCCACAAAGAACAGCTTTGCAGGCCCATTTCAAAATATGGTAGCGAAACATGTTTTGGGGTAAAATATTTTGATTTTTTGTCTTGAAATGTTATGATGCCAGAGTCAGTGGAAAGTAAGTCATGATATATATAGAGTTAAATAAAATCCATCTGATGAGAATTTATGATTTGTAGGGCATGACTCCCCAGACCCCTTAGATAGGAATTTGGGCAAGACAAAAAATCAGAGTTTAGTCCTTATATCCAATGAGGCCATTTGAATTAATGGCTTCTGTTTGTTTGTTTTGTTTTGAGTCAGGGTCTTGCTCTGTTGTACACGAAAGTGCAGTAGCACAAACATGGCTCACTGCAGCCTTGACCTCCCGGGCTCAGTGATCTTCCTACCTTAGCCTCCTAAGTAGCTGGGACTACAAGTGTGTGCTACCATGCCTGGCTGATTTTGCAGAGATGGGGTCTCATTATATCACCAAGGCTGGTCTTGAACTCCTCAGCCTCTGATTCTCTCACCTTGGTCTCCAAAAGTGCTAGGATTACAGGCATGAGCCATTGTGCCCAGCCAATGGCTTCTTTAAAATGCGATTTATCTTTTCTATTTAAATGCCTGTCTCTCATATGTAAATAGTAGTTCTGCTGGTACCCATCTCATGTAACTAAGATTACTGGATTTGTATAGTTTTACCCTTAAAAAAATATATATTTTGTAACTTGCCATACTCTCCTAGAATACTATGCTGTTTAAGTTCTTAATGTGATAAATATTCTATTATATACATATTCATTTCTCTTCCAAGTCATTTCCTTGTCTTAGAGACACATTAGTTACTTGCTATTCGGTGACTATCAGTATATTGTGAAAATCAATCTTTAGTACATTTTTAGTTAGATTTTGTTTGGTTGTTTATTCTTTTAGGTTTGATTGCTGATTTGCTTCTCTGAATTTTAGATTCTTCTGTAGTTTCTGACCTCCAGACAAAGGTGGATGAATGTAGTTCTGATATATTAATGAGATAAAGTCCTCAATAGAATTCATCCAAGAGACACAGCTGCTCCAGGGAGAGCCACCATCATTAACAATAAGAAAAGTAAGAGTACAAGGCTCTTTTTCTAGAGCAACTGGGTGCTTATTTCATTTTTTCCCCTCTTCTCTTCCTGATCTCCATATTTGAACTTTACAAGTGATTTTTTTTTTCTTTTCCAAACTAAAGGATGAGAACCGAAGATTCTTTCTACTTCCATATCCAGGAACTGAAACTCACTATATTTATCCTCAAACACCTCCTTCCATTCTTCTCCCAGATTTGGCTAATGTCCACATTTATATGCTTAATGTTTCCTACAGCTACTACACATTTGAACACTTCCAACATGAAACATTGGAATAACCCCAAATATTACTGCCACAAAGATAGCCATGGAGAATACAGGTTATGAATCAAGGATATTGCTGGTCTGTAAAAGTCATCACTTGAAACTCCTGGAATTTTAATACCTAAAATCCATGTAAATGGGGCAGACCTAGAGACTGGTAATAAATCCTCACAACACAGTGGAATACATGTACAAAACAGATCTGAACAGAAAGTGGTGAGAACACAAGGGAAGGAGCAAATTGTTCTGCAGAGAGGCCAAGAACAGCTTCTTGGGAGAAGAGAAACAAGGTCTGGAAGGATGACCAACAGTTTTTCCAAAAACCGTTGTAGGAAGAGAGGTGGGTATTGCAGGTACAAGAAAGAGCATGTGTCAAAGTCCCAAGTCTTGACAGGCATATGGCCTGTTGAGGACACGGTGGCAAGTCTAGCATAGCTAAATAAGGCCAAGACATTTGCAACAGTCCATTAGAGGAAGCAATATAGCCTAAACTCAGGTGGTGGCAGAATGGATGGAGAAAGGGGCTAAACTCGGGATACAAGTGGGAATGAAGGGTTGGCAGGAGTTAAGGGTGACTCTGAAGTTTCTGCCTGGGGTGAGTTGCTGTATGCTAACACCATCACTAGAGAAAGAAAACAGGCTGGGCAGGGTGGCTCACGCTTGTAATCCCAGTACTTTGGGAAGCTAAGGTGGGAGAATCACCTGAAGTCAGGAGTTCCAGACCAGGCTGGCCAACATATAGTGAAACCACATCTCTACTAAAAATACAAAAATTACTGGTCATGGTGGTGCACACCTGTAGTCCCAGCTACTTGGGAAGGGCTGAGGCAGGAGAATCGCTTGAACTTGGGAGGCAGAGGTTGCAGTAAGCTGAGATTGCACCACTGTACTCCAGCCTAGATGACAGAATGAGACTCCATCTCTCAAGCAAAAAATGAGACAGAAAACCCAGGACACAGAGGACCTGGGGTAGCCAGCAGGATTTGGATCCCGAATGTCTGCTGAATGACCAATTCTTTGGCTAAATTTAAATGAATGCTCTTCCTCTCTCTCTCTCTCTCTTTGATGTGACTATCTTTTTTTTTTTTTTTTTTTTTTCTTAATTCTCTTTTCTCTTGGTTTCCAATATACCACTCTTTTAAATTTCTTACCTATCTGCTCCCTCCTTTCCTGGCATGTGAAGGAAAAGGAGCAATGAAAAGAGGCTCTGTTTTTGACCCACTTCCTATCTCTCTTGTCTCTTGTTCTCTGGTAATTGCCCACCTCCCAGCTCTTCAATTATTCTCTATGGACTGGGGGACTTCTAACTCCAAGGTGCATTCCCATCTCTCTCATCAGTTCCAGACCTTTTGGTGCAATTGCCTACTGAATATTTTCCCCAGCTGTCCTGCAGGAGGGATTCTGCATCTCAAACTGCACTCTTCCCTAGACAGCCCCTGCTTCTCCCCATGTGGGCCTCATCTCAGCAAATGAACCCTCCATCCATCTGGAGACTCAGAGTCCTCTGGATTTTAAGTTGCATGAATGCAGGGACCATTTCACTTGGTTGCCACTCACACAGTGAGTGGCCCACACATAGCAAACACTCAACTATTGGTAGAGTCAGTAAACGGGGCCTTTAGGTTTCTGGCTTATGTCAACCCTCAAGTAATGAAAGTTGTCCTCTACCTTTCTCCCATCCCCCTGCAGCATGAATTAACTGAATTCAGCACCATTTGCTTCAGAAAGCCTTCCCTGACCATCACTCCGCTTCCCATCCTGTTCTGCTAAGACTCACAATTTCCTGCTGATAAGGAAATACTTCAGCCAAATTAAATTTAAAGAGTTTAATTTAGCAATGAATGATTCACGAATCGGGCAGCCTCCAAAATCACAGCAGATTCACAGAGAATCCAGGGATGCCTCATGGTCAGAACAAATCTATAGACAAAAAAGGTAAAGTGATGTACAGGAATTGGAAGTGAGGTACAGAAACAGTGAGATTGGTTCCAGCTCGGCATTTGCCTCATTTGAACACTTAGCAGTCTGTGAGTGGTTGAAGTATGGCTGCTGGGACTGGCCGACATTCAGTTTAGTAGTACGATACAGGTGCATACTACTAAGGTTTTCATTTTGTCTGACTATTAAGCTAGGTTACACATCCACAAGGACTCAAATATAAAAATACGGAGTCCTTCTCAGGCCATATTTAGTTGCTTTAACACTGCGTACACCTTAACCATACCACATAGCATATGGTTTCCATGTCAATTTCACCCACCAGTTCCTTAAGGGATAAAGCAGGTATCTTCTTTAGATTCTGGTGCCTACTTGTTTGATGAAAGGAAGGAAGGGGGAGGAAAGGAAGAGAGGGAAAAGACTGACAGACATTCTGAGAGGGGTGTCCAGATATCCTGAGGGCTGTGGCAGAGAGGGATGTGAATTACCCAGGGTGATGCCTCCAGGGTGATGGCTCTTTGCCCCAGAAGATGTGTGCAGGGCAAACTCTCTTATGCCTACAGGGACAGTGAAGGAAGGTAGTCTTAGGTATAAGGCAGCAAAAAGTAGTGGGACTGTGGTGAACAGAGAGGACACGCTCTGTCTAATAATTGTTATGTAGAAATGCTGGCCCTGTGTGGCCAGACTGATTGCATTTTTTTCTTTCTTCTCTTTTTTTTTTCTTTGAGACGGAGTCTCACTCTGTCACCCAGGCTGGAATGCAGTGGCGTGATCTCAGTTCACTGCAGCCTCTGCCTCCCAGGTTCAAGCAATTTGCCTATCTCAGCCTCCTGGGACCACAAGCATGTGCCAACACACCCAGCTAATTCTTATATTTTTGATGGAGACAGGGTTTTACTATGCTGGCCAGGCTGATTTCAAACTCCTCACCTCAAGTGATCTGCCTGCGTCAGCCTCCCAAAGTGCTTGGGAGTATAGGCATGAACCACCACGCCTGGTCTGGATTTTTTTTTCTAAATTCTTTTTTTTATATGTTTTAAAACATTTTTTGATCATTTTGTTTGTTTGTTTTTGAGATGGAGTTTTGCTCTTGTTGTCCAGGCTAGAGTGCTATGGCATGATCTTGGCTCACCTCAACCTCTGCCTCCTGGGTTCAAGTGATTCTCCTGCCTCAGCCTCCTGAGTAGCTGGGATTACAGGTACATGCCACCACACTGGCTAATTTTGTATTTTTAGTAGAGACGGGGGTTTCTCCATGTTATCAGGCTGGTCTTGAACTCCTGACCTCAGGTGATCCGCCTGCCTCAGCCTCCCAAAGTGCTGGGATTACAGGCATAAGCCACTGAGCCCAGCTTGATCATCATTTTAATCAGTTAATACTGATTATATTTTTTCCCCAACGAAGTAAGAATCAATATTTTGGAACAAGAAATTTTCTACATTTTAAATACTGGTCACATTAAGCATTAGACTAGATTCTGGCCTTGATTTGACAGTTTGTGGTTTCTGGTACAAAACATTGAGGAACGTTCATTTGTAAACTATTAAAATGTGAGCTGGGTGCAGTGACTCACACCTGTAATCCTAACACTTTGTGAGGCCAAAGCAGGTGGATTGCTTGAAATCAGGAGTTAGAGACCAGCTCGGGCAACATGTTGAAACCCTGTCTCTACAAAACATTCAAAAATTAGCCAGGCATGGTGGCGCGTGCCTGTGGTCCCACCTCCTGGTGAGTCTGAGGTGGGAAAACTGCTTACACCTGGGAGGTTGAGGCTGCAGTGAGCTGTGTTCATGCCACTGCACTCCAGCTTGGGCTACAAAGTGAGATCCTGTCTCAAAAAAAACAAAACAAAACAAAATGGGACAGTTACAGAGAAAATGGGAAAATACATCCACAAGAACACACACATCAATCAAAAGCTGGGTTAATTTAGTGAAATACATGTTGGAGAAAAGAGGAAACTTTATTAAAGGAGGTGTCAGGTAATGAATATTGAATCAGGTCCTTGACTCGATTTGGGGGCAGAAATGAGCTATATATAAAGGAGGTCCAGTAATAAAAACAATGGGAGATTTCTTCAATAGGGGTGGATAATTTTCTAGGTATTTCGACATTCTCAGCTGTAAATACCACTGTAGAAGCAGCTAACATCATAGAACCCAAATATGAACATTATCCATGCTAATTATTCACTACAAGAATCAATTGCACAGGTTGGGAAATTGATTTTAACTAATAATTGGACTATATTTTTAATTATATTAAAATTACTTTTCATTTTGAGCACTGTGAAACACTATACAAACTTATTACTTCACTAAGTCCCGATATGACCATTTGAAGTAGATTATTTTTTTCTCACATTTGCTAAGAAATTAAGGTTTGGAAAGTTTCATTCATTCATTTGACAAGTATTTAATTTAGTATGCAGTAATGAACAAAGCAAACAACCCCCTGCCTTCATGGATTCAAGGATTAAATTCCAGGTGAAACCAAATAAACAGATACAGTAGATAGTCTTCCTTTCGGATGCAGCACTGATTTTAAATATAGGCTTTCTCTTTTTTTGAGGCTGGAGTACAGCGGCATGATCTTGGCTCACTGTAACCTTCACCTAATGGGTTCGAGCAATCCTCATACCTCAGCCTCCTGAGTAGCTGGGACAATAGGCATGCACTGCCACTCCTGGCCAATTTTTTTTTGTTTTTTTTCAGTAGAGATGGGGTTTTGTCATGTTGGCCAGGCTGGTCTTGAACTTCTGATGTCAAGTGATTGGACCACCTTGGCTTTCTATTAAACCTCAGCTACAAACCTTCTAGTAAGTGGCTGATGCTAACCATTTTATTTTATTTATAACATATAAATATATAAGACAATATTACATATATATATTATATATCTATGTAGGTGTGAGCCACTGTGCTGGACCTGGATGCAATAATAGTAGTTTTGAGGCACCAGCAGACTGCAGACCTGTGACCCAGTGAACAGAAGTTCTCAGGACAGCCAAGTAGCTGCTGGGTCACTCCCCAGCCACCTGACCTCAGCAGACCACATTCTTTGCAGCTGGCTGTCCTGATCTGTGATCGTGGGGATGCAATATCTGCTCCATGCATGGACGAGCTGCTATGAAAATACAGCAGGAAACAGCACAGGAAATGTGTAAGTGCATCTAAAATCATATGTACATATTTGTTTAATGCTTAACATATTACATGAGTGTTTTCAAGGGAAATATAAATATGGCGTTAATTTTAATAATAATAACCCACTCCACAATAGTGAAATGTCTAGCAATCTGATAATTTGCAGTGGTGATCTGGGTGGTTGTGACACTGTTAATGTTGTTGATTTAAAGAGAAGTGTTACATAGCTGCCTTAGAAACATTTAGTTACAGCTGGGTGGCAGAGGGGCCCAGGCAAGCCGACCCAGACACAGAGCTACTGAGGAGAGCTGACTTCATCCAGGGAGGATGTAAGTGGGCATTCTTTCATTCATCAAACAATTATTAACTGGTTTCCTATCATATCTGTTTTGTTCATTGCTATATCCTCAGTGCTCAGAAAAACTCATTGCCCTGAAAAGGTTTACATTGTAATAGGGGGAGGCAGTTCCTCTATAGACGTGTTTATCTTAGGTCATAAGTGCTTCAAAGAAAAGTGAGACTGGGGGATGGGCAGGGGATGGGAGGGAGGGAGGGAGGGAGGGAGAAAGGGAAATTGTGTTAGGATAATTAATAGCAGCTGCCTCAACAAATAAAATCTGCAATTTCAGTGGCTTAGTCTGACAAAGCCACTGATTTTTCTTCCACAAAGTACGATTGGGGTCAGTGACTCAGGGACCCAGGCTCCCTCCGTCTTCTGGGATCTCCAAGACAGGAGAAGAAAGGAGGGACAGAGCCCCATGATTCTGAGCGAACGCAGTGGTGATGCAGCATGGTGGATCTCTCGGGGAAGAGGGCTCCAAGGAGGGAGGACAGTAAAGGCAAAAACATCAGCGAGAAATGTTTGGCTTGTCCCAGAAATAGCAAAGAAACCACTGTGGCTTCTCTCAGTGGAAAAGGGGGGTTGGAAAGATAGTCAAGGGCCAGGCCATTTAAGATCTCTCAGGCCAAGGGAGGAAGTAAGAAAATGCAATTATTTGGGGTCATTTAGTGTCCCTTAAAAACTTTACAGAAGCATTATGGATGGTTATAATGATTGTGTAAACTAAACTATGAATAATATGCTCCATTTTCTAGAGAAATCTTTACAAAATGTGTTACTGCATCTATTTCCCTGATGGAACTGTTATGGGTCGTTAATCCTTGAGGACAATTTTCTACCTATCCAAGACCTCTAGAGGTAGGGTTTTTCCTGCCACTAGTGGCATAGGGCCAAACATCATGGCAGCCCATCATGATAGCCCATCTTCGTTTTTCTGGAAGCCCAATGTGTGGCAAGCACAAAGGTCTCCCACTAGACTCCTACAAACGAAGCACCTGCAGATGACCATGCCCCAGTGCCACAAACAAGCTCAAACATGCAATAGTTCCTCAACCACTGTTTCAAGAGTAGCTCAACCAGTTTGTAAAAAGCATCACTTTAAACTCCCGGAATTTTCACACCTGACATAAGCCCAAAGTTACTGTACTGAATTCTAAAGATGTAGTGAAACTAAATTTATTCATCTTACATATTCCGGGTTAGCTTTTCAGAAGTAAAATGAGTCGTTTTCTAGAGGTTTAGTCAATGTTGAGTATAGAGGTTTAGTTAATGTTGAGTAACTACTAAATGAATAGATGGGGTGAAACTAAATTTATGTATCCTACATATTCCAGGTTAGCTTTTCAGAAGTAAAATGAGTTGTTTCCTAGAGGTTTCATTAATGTTGACGTCATGTTTCTGACCACATGAAATGTTGGCATTGAAATTCAATGACCCCTGTTGCTTACTCTGAGAATAGTCAAACCCCAGAATTTTTAGCTAAAAATGTAATCTAGAATTTGCTTACTGAATTGCATTAAGGTTTCGCATTAGGATAAACACTGTGGGAGTAATTCTGGTATGGTGGGTTGGTGGTTTTCTACAAGATGCTTAGAATACCACAGTCCTTAAAATAATTGTACACTCTTCTGGCCCGTTTCCCAGATTTCCTTGAAAAGGGTCAGAGGACAGGCTGCAATTAATGACACATGAATGCTGAAGTCCAATTAGAAGCGTCTTCAAAGGAATAATTAGGCTAGACTTAATAAGAGGGGATTAAGAGAAGAAAAGGTTTGGGCAAATTATACACTGAAGGAAAAGAAGATAGGAAACAAGGCAACCATAGATTGGAGCTGATTATTTCAGGAAGTGATTTTTGATCTGTTTATCTTAAAAATAATATAAATATAGTGAGACATAGAGACAACAGATGGATGGATGATCATTCACCGCAGACTAGGAATGGCAGTGTGAACACTGGGACTTCCTGGTGCATGCACCCTGCAATTGTGAGTTTAGTACCCCTATTCCCTTTGTGAAAGAGGCCAGGAATTTTGCTTTCTGTAAATAACAATAACAGCAGCAGAAGCGGCAGCAAACGCTTCAAATCTGCTTACCCTGCCAGATACTGTTTCACTTTCCTCATCTGTGAAATAGGGATACCTTATGATCGAATCCCCACAACAACCCCTGGAGGTAGGTACGATATAAGTGACTTGCTCCAGGTCATACAGCTAGTTAGTGTCAGAACACAGACTGAGATTCAGAAGCCCGGCTCCGAAGTTTGAGCTCTCATTCACTGCACTACATATATCTTTGGGAGGAGAGGCGACACATGCAGGTAATGTGTGCGCATTTATTGCACTGGAAACTCTCCAGTTCCTCCCTCTGTACATGATCCTTTGCTTCCAGTGTTGTCAATCACAGCACCTTCCCTGGCCCTTACTTTGTTCTTGTCAATCTCCTCTCTTTGAGCAGAAGAGGGAAGGGAGCTTGCTTCATAGGTGAAGAGCCCCTCGGCAGAGGAATCCTGTTTTCTTAGTGCAATCGCTAATTTGCATTGCAAAATGCTTTATTACGTGAGTGGGCTAAGCCATTCTAGGAGCAGTCACTGTGCGCTCAGAGTGGGAACGTTTATCAGGCGTGCAAATACTAACTTACCTTCTGGAGAACGTTTAACTTAAATGCCTAAAAATTCTCAGATAATTCACCTCGGGATAGAAACCCCCGTCAGCCGGGCTTCAGTGCCCGGCTTCGCAGCACCGGCCACGAGGGGGCAGTGGCAGCCGCAAAGCCGAGGCGGGCGGTGGGCTCGGCGGCTCGGCCATCGCTTGCTCTCGCCTGGCACGCGGCTCTCGGCTGTGGATTAGCGCAGCTGGAGACGTGGGAGGCCGCCGGCCCCGCCCCCGACTGGCGGCGGCGGCGGCCCAGCGCGGCAGTCGGCGCTGCGAAGCGGAGGTGCTGCGAGCGGAGCCGCGCGGAGGGCGCGACTGGCGGGTTCGGGCAGCGCGGGTGCGCCGCCTCCCGAGCCCCGGTCCGCGCGCCAGGGCTCGAGCAGCACCGCGGGCCCCTTAGGCGAGCCTCGGCTCGGGGCGCCGGGACCATGGCGCTGCGCGCCCGGGCGCTGTACGACTTCAGGTCGGAGAATCCAGGCGAGATATCGCTGCGGGAGCACGAGGTGCTGAGCCTGTGCAGCGAGCAGGACATCGAGGGCTGGCTGGAGGGGGTCAACAGCCGCGGCGACCGCGGCCTCTTCCCCGCCTCCTACGTGCAGGTGATCCGTGCCCCCGAGCCCGGCCCGGCGGGAGACTGCGGCCCAGGGGCCCCGGCCCGCTACGCCAATGTGCCCCCCGGGGGCTTCGAGCCCTTGCCCGCCGCGCCGCCCGCCTCCTTCAAGCCGCCGCCCGACGCCTTCCAGCCGCTGCTGCAGCCACAGCAGGCGCCGCCTCCGAGCACCTTCCAGCCGCCCGGCGCGGGCTTCTCGTATGGCGGGGGCGCCCTGCAGCCGTCGCCTCAGCAGCTCTACGGCGGCTACCAGGCCAGCCAGGGCAGCGACGATGACTGGGACGACGAGTGGGACGACAGCTCCACGGTGGCAGACGAGCCGGGCGCGCTGGGCAGCGGCGCATACCCGGACCTCGACGGCTCCTCCTCGGCGGGCGTGGGCGCAGCCGGCCGCTACCGCCTGTCCACCCGCTCCGACCTGTCCCTCGGTTCCCGCGGCGGCTCGGCGCCCCCGCAGCACCACGCGTCGGGGGCCAAGAGCTCAGCCACCGTGAGCCGCAACCTCAACCGCTTCTCTACCTTCGTCAAGTCCGGCGGGGAGGCCTTCGTGCTGGGGGAGGCGTCAGGCTTCGTGAAGGACGGGGACAAGCTGTGCGTGGTGCTGGGGCCCTACGGCCCCGAGTGGCAGGAGAACCCCTACCCGTTCCAGTGCACCATCGACGACCCCACCAAGCAGACCAAGTTCAAGGGCATGAAGAGCTACATATCCTACAAGCTGGTGCCCACGCACACGCAGGTGCCTGTGCATCGGCGCTACAAGCACTTCGACTGGCTGTACGCGCGCCTGGCGGAGAAGTTCCCGGTCATCTCCGTGCCCCACCTGCCCGAGAAGCAGGCCACCGGCCGCTTCGAGGAGGACTTCATCTCCAAGCGCAGGAAGGGCCTGATCTGGTGGATGAACCACATGGCCAGCCACCCGGTGCTGGCGCAGTGCGACGTCTTCCAGCACTTCCTGACATGCCCCAGCAGCACCGACGAGAAAGCCTGGAAGCAGGGCAAGAGGAAGGCTGAGAAGGACGAGATGGTGGGCGCCAACTTCTTCCTGACCCTCAGCACGCCCCCCGCCGCTGCCCTTGACCTGCAGGAGGTGGAGAGCAAAATCGACGGCTTCAAGTGCTTCACCAAGAAGATGGACGACAGCGCGCTGCAGCTCAACCACACGGCCAATGAGTTTGCGCGCAAGCAGGTGACTGGCTTCAAGAAGGAGTATCAGAAGGTGGGCCAGTCCTTCCGTGGCCTCAGCCAGGCCTTTGAGCTGGACCAGCAGGCCTTCTCGGTGGGCCTGAACCAGGCCATCGCCTTCACCGGAGATGCCTATGATGCCATCGGCGAGCTCTTCGCGGAGCAGCCCAGGCAGGACCTGGACCCCGTCATGGACTTATTAGCTCTGTATCAGGGGCATCTGGCCAACTTCCCGGACATCATCCACGTTCAGAAAGGTAAACCCTGGCCCTCAGAGCAGGTGATACGGAGTGTATTGTGCATGCTGAAAGGGGTGACTTTGACATCAGTACCACTGGGTTTCAGGCTCACTCGTATTCTGCAGGTGGGGAAGCGAGCAAAGACGTGGACGCCTGGGTCTTTTCCCTAGGGTGGAAGGTGGATTGCTCAACAGGCAGCTTCCTCGAGTATCTCTCAGTAGGGAGTGAGTACTCTTCCTGAAGGTTCAAAGAGTACCTTTGATGACAGTGCTATCATTTTAGAGTTTGAATAGTTGAGTCATGAGCTGCTCAGATCTGTAATCTTGAGACTAGGGTAGAATTAGAAGGAGACCCAACCAACCATGTTAGGCATCTGTTTGAACACTGCACTGTCACTTAGTGGTGGGTTTCAAAAAGTGAGGAAATAATGGGGAAAAACTGATGTCTGCAAATAAAGAGACAAGTCTGCTTTCACCCTTCCATACCTCTCCATCTCTGCTTTGGTAGAGGAATTGAGATAATTCTCTGAGCTAAAGAGCTTCCTGCAAAGAATGCTTGCCTGCAGCCTTTGCTAAGTGAAGTACAAGGGTCATTCTAATTTCAGGAAGAGTGTACTCATTTTGAGTTTGGAATCTATAAATATACTGAAATTGAGAACATTGTTTAGGAGAATTGTATAGAGATACTACATAGAGTGAATCTAATCTGAGTATTGTACCTGAGAGCAGCATTACTGGTATCTCAGTGAGTTAGCTGTCCAACTGTCAGAGCTAATGAGTTATTAATAGTTGTTAGTGTCTCTGACCTTTGCTAAAGCACTGGAATTTGCAAATTAAAAAAGTAAAATATAGCAGTAGTGCTTGTCTTAACATTCCTCACTAATGCGCATTCTGATATAATGCCTTGAATGAAAGAATGGGGAGGTGCGGGAATTAGGGAGGCAGTCTTGCCTGTGAAAGTCCAGTGTAGGGGCCGCTGGGCAGAGTCATCCAATCCCACCTCCTGAGCAGGAAAACCTACATTTTCTGAGCTGGTCTGGTCGTTTGTGATGAGTGCTTGCCGCCTTTCTGGTGGGCCAGTCTGTTTATGAGCAGCCCTGATATCTGGCATGTCTTTCCTTGTATTGAACTGAAGTTTGCCTTCCTTGATTGTCTTTCTGTTCCCTGGGGCCGCCTTCAGACATTTGGAGACAGCAGTCTGGCTTCCTTCCTCTCTGCTTCTTTCCTTCCCCTTTCAAATGTGTGACTGGCCTTCTGACTGTTAAGGGGGAAGGGGCTTGCTGGAGGAATGATCAAACGCTTTGAATCTTGTTGCTGCTGTTGAAATGGAGTACCCTGGATATCAGTACTACTTTTAGTAGAGAATAGTAACTTTCTTGGCAATTTGCCATTTGTAAATGCAATCTAATACTGAATTCGCTTTTTGTGCAGTCATATTGCTGTTGGCCTATATTAAACCTGTTACATTCCCTATGCCTTTTTTTTTTAAACATACATTCTTATGAATCTTTGACTTTTTTGACTGATGTTGGTGGAACTGACTGTGAGCCTTTAATGGAGGAACTTAGCATTTAAATTCCATTGTGTTACATCATTCTGGACCTGTGCTGGCTGACCTTTTACACAGTTCTGTGAGTTTGCGCACATTGTCAGTAAATAATTGAAAGGAGGGAACCAAGTACAGACATTTGGACGTGCGTGCTGGGCTGCCGGTGTCTGTCTACTGTAGGTTGGTATCAGTTCATTCACTGTCAGTCACACCATGCACTCAGCCTTTGTCCAGTGCCCGCTTTTGAAATTATGTATTAGAAAAGGTGTGGTGTGGTGTGTGTTCTAATATCTATTTTGAGTTTACAGCAGTGGTCTACTTAGTCTTTTGAACCATTTGGTTATGGCCAGGCTCACACCTGTAATCCCAGCATTTTGGGAGGTCGAGGCAGGAGGATCGCTTAAGGCCAGGAATTTGAGACCAGCCTGGGCATCATAGTGAGACCCTTGTGCCTACCAAAAATAAAGAAGTTAGGGTGGCATGAAGGCTCATACCTATAGTCCTAGCTATTAAGGAGGCTGAGGCTGGAGGATTGCTTGAGGCCAGTAGTTTGTTTGAGGTTGCAGTGAGCCATAATCACACCATTTCCCTCCAGCTTGGGTGACAGAGCAAGACCCTGTGTCCAAGACAAAAAACAAAAACATATAGTTTGTTTATTTATTTGTAAAGACAGGTGTCTCACTGTGCTGCGAGGTTGTCTCTAACACCTGGGCTCAAGCAATCCTCCCACCTCAGCCTCCCAAAGTGCTGGGATTACAGGCGTGAACCACCATCCCTGGCCTAGATTATCTTTTTTAAATTATAGAACTGGATTTGTCTCCTGTCACTTGGGATTTGAAAAACTTCCTTCATTAAAACCAGTATCATTTTATATGGCTTAAACAGATTCAAGAGCACTAAACATAACCTCTAGGAACTTTGTTCTTTCTATCAACCTCAGAAAGAACAGCAGTTGATATTCAGTATAGTTTGTTTCTGCTGTAACTGTGGTGTGTAATGTACAGTGAGCCTGTGTCCCTAGATGACATGTCTTTAGAAAGTACTACCATTTAAAGTGACAGTGTACAGTACTTAAGGCTGAAAGCATTTGCTTACAGCCAGTGTTTCTCAAGGATGCTGCTGTAGGCTGTTTTTAGGAGTATAGATGAGACAAACATCATAAGACAGGGTAAAGCTTATTGAGTGTATTGAGGACTTGTGGTTGTAAAGAGCATCTCAGTTCCATCACCTCCCCCACCCCAACTGTTACACACTTGAAATCTGGCTGATGTGACTAAGGGACTGATTATTGGTCAACAGAGATGATGGAACTTTTCTGTCAGTGCTGAAAGTTCTATTGAGCAGTGCTGTGTTAATCTGCTGGCTGTGGTTTAACTATCAACCGCATCGTAAGCTTCTCCAGCAAATTATTATCTTTTGATGTACTTTCCTGATAGCTTTATTTTTACTTGGTCATCTCATGGTATCTCCTCCTTACCATATAGGCCTAATTATTACAAACTGGGAAGGGGGAAGCCAGATCCTTCTTTGCTGAAGTTCCCAGGCATTCAACCCGAGTGACATTTCAGTAGTGTGAGCATCTCTTGCAGTGTGCCTTTGTGTCCCATTCGGAAAACAACACTGCTTTCAGGACGGATGTTTGAGGCCATCCTGGTGAGAACCCAGCTACAAAATGAGGGTGGAAAACTCGAATACTCTTAAATGTGGAGGGCTGACATTTTACTGAACCCATCGGTTTTAGTGTACATACTTTCTGCAGAAGTGAAGAAAGCCATATAGTTCCTTCAACTAAAAGAGAATTCTGGAATTTTGATTTTTTTCTGTCAACAAATGGAGTCGTAGATAAACAACTATGTAGGTTAATGGAATTGCGTGAAGAGAGATGGCAGTTTGCTGTAGTTTGCGGTACATTAGATGGGAATTCAGAATCTGTTGTAATTTTATTTGTGTTTTGCTTTGACCTAACAGGAGTGCTTTAAGTTCTTTGTTCCTAGGCAGCTCATTGATTAGACTTGGCAGTGTGCACGTTTATCACCAACATGTAACCTCTGTGGTCCTGGTTTTTGTTTTGTTTTGTTTCAAAAGTGATAGTATTTTATCTTCTCCCTCCTTATCATGCCTGCCTGCAGTATACCTTTATAATGCTGATGTTGGTGAGTTTAGGGTAGTACTGAGGAATGTATTTTATTCTTAATTTCTTGGCATATTCAGTTTTGTTTCCAAAGATATAATTGATCTGTAATATTTAATAGAGCTAAATCTGGATGGCAGCAAGTTGAGGTTTAAAAGCTTTAGATTTACCTCATGGGGCTGTTACAAAAAAGGAAAGACTGTAAAAGATTATAAGAAATACTGGTTTCATTCTTGTTTAGGAATTTGGACTAAATATAGATGGCTAGAGGGAGTTACTTTAAGTGAAATGTCTCTATTCCAGAGAAAAGGTATAAAATAATGTTAAATTGATTTGTGAGTTTGGGTTGTGTGAAGAGGGAGGCAGGACTAGAAAAGTACATAGGCAGTCCTGTTTCTGTCTTCTTAAATACGCAGAATCTACTTCATTGCTCCCTAAATGTTCCAGATATAGCCCTTTTTCAATAAAAAACAGTGCCAGGACCTCAGGAATGGTGTACCAGTAGTGGGACTATCAGTCTTGCTGGGTAGAATTTCACCATTGTTCTTCCTTTTACCATTAGGAGAGTTGACCTGATGTCCCTCAGACATTAATTAAAGATAGCTGGAGTCCCAACAGGGCACACAAGGTACGGCTGGTCCACACTGAGACATTCCCTGTCTGCTTCCCATTCTCCTGTGGCTAAAAATAGCCCTGAAAGGGTGGTGCCAGCAATACAGAGAAAAGCTCTAAGAAGTCAGGGCTGTTTGCAAATTCATCCTTATTTTTGAAATCTTTGGGCTAGAAGTTGAGGCTTATCCTTTTTGTTTTCACTCCATCTTAGTTAAACCCATTTTTCATCACCCCTGCATTTACCCCAGCTGTTACCTAGAAAGATGTGAAGTCTTTTTAGAGAACACATCTGGGGCTGCTTAGCCTTTGCCCCAGCTTGTGTTTTGTTAGTGACAATAAGGTAACCTTTGGGGCTTTCGAAATACACGACTCAGTTCCTTGGTTAAAACATAAATGGGACTGGCCAAGGACAGTCTTGGGCATGAAACTGGGTGTGGGCACTGCTGATACCACCCTGTCAGGGGTTTCTCAGACTTCTTTTTTGAGCTGCAAAGCCTTCAGAGTCACAATGATCACAGTGAGATTGGAAGGAGGCATAGGACCTGCACTCCCACCCACCTTCTCCCAGTAACTCGGGGAGCCTATGGGGTTTCCTTGTTCAGAAATGCCATCCTTCTGGTCATCTTAGGACTTCCAAACATCATGCCGGAACTCAAACAAGTGAGAAGTTCTGTAATTCACTTAGAAACACTTCCCTTAAACTAATATGTTCCTTCTTTTTGGGCTG